CAACTTTTAAATTCCAATAAACAGAAAGATGCAGCCTAAATAAAAGGAGAAGCATACTTCCATGTTCTTTAATGGGTTGAATTAAATTCATTATACCTCCAAATTTCCAGCTGGATTTTTTTTTTTTTTTTTTTTTTGAGGAACACAATATACTTTTTCCCCTAAAACTTACAGGGAAGGAAAAGAAGGATATAATATAAAAATGTAAGTAAACCAAGCAGGAAGACTTGTCCTACCAGATAGTGACATACCACCAAACCACAATAAAATCAGAATTGACAAATAGACCAGTAAAACAGCATGGAAGGGGGTAGCCCCAGTGGCTCAGCAGTTTAGTGCCACATTCAGCCCAGGGCATGGTCCTGGAGACCCGGGATCGAGTCCCATGTCAGGCTCCTTGCATGGAGCCTGCTTCTCCCTCTGCCTGTGTCTCTGCCTCTCTCTCTGTCTCTCATGAATAAATAAATAAAATCTTAAAAAAAAAAAAAAAACAGCATGGAAAACTCAGACTGTGCTTGTTTATATATGACAACAATAAAGATGGCATTAAAAATAAAAGGAAAGTATGGATTATTTACTATGTGATGCTGTGAAAAGTGATTAACTGTATAAAAAAAATAAAAACGGATTCCACTTAGTATCATACACAATGTGGACACTTCGGTGGATTAAACGCTTAAGGGCACGCCTGGGTGGCTAAGTTGGTTAAGTATCTGCCTTCTTCTCAGGTCATGATCCTGGGGTCTGGAATGGAGCCCCACGTCATCAGGCTCCCTGCTCAGCGAGGAGCCTGCTTCTCCTCCCTCTCCCTCTGCCTCTCCCCCTGCTTATGCTTACTCTCTTTTTCTCAAATAATTTTTTTTTTAAAGGGGAGGTGGAAGCTATAGAGTAAAAGAAAATGGTGGAGTTGAAAGCATTTACCATTGTGAAACAAATCCAAGAACTGGTTTTTTGGAAGAAAAATATTAACAATAAATTAGATAAATTACCAGCTGGCTAACCAAAGGGGAAAAAAAGTAGTGAGCATGAATCGAAAAAAAATTTAGAATTGATACTGGGGAAATGGCAACAGATAAAAATTTAACTTAATGTTACGTGGGCACTTTCCACAGCTCTTTAAAAATAAATCTTAAAAGGAAGTATATTTTTTCCTAGAAAACTATGCAATATGTCCTAAAGAGAAAAAAGTCTAAACAGATCAGTTATTATGAAAGAAATTGCTCAAGTTCTCAAAGAACTATAACCTTGAAAAATAACTGACCCAAAAGTTTTCTCACATAAATTCTTTCAAATTTTCAAGGAACAGATTTGGAGTTACTAAATTCTTCCAAATATATAGAAAAACTATGAAAATTTTAAAACATTCAGGAAAACACGGAGACAGTAAAAGTCAGAAAACTATAGTTCTACACTGTTACTAATGAATACTGATATAAATTTCAAGACTAAATAAAGGAAAATATAAGGCCAATAAAATCTGGCAACACCTATATTTATAACATAACTGCCACAGAACTAATTACTCCAAAATGTACGTGGCTTCACATGACAATAATTATTATCTTTCACAACTTCTCTGGGTCAGAAATTCAGGAATGGCCATGCTGGGCAGTTCTGGCTCAGATCTCTCACAAGATTGTTGAGTAGTGGACTAGAGAAGCAGTCACCTAAAGGCTTGATTGGGCTGGAGGATTCACTTCCAGGGTGGCTCACTCACATGGCTGGCAGGCTGGTTGTGACTGTTGATGGAAGGTCTCAGTTTCTTTGCACTTGGTCATGTGGCCTGGGCTACCACTCAATATAGAGGCAATCAAAAGCTACATCCTATCTATGACTTAGTTTGGAAGTCACGTAGCATTTACTTCTACTGTACTCCACTGGTTGAGGTGATCATATGCCCCAGCCAGATTTGAGAAGAGGGTACGCAAATCCTGCTTTTTGGAGGGAAGAGTATACGTCACATTGTAAAATAAGTCAGATATGTTATAGGTGTGGCCAACTTTGGAAAATGCAGATGCAATCTGCTATTAATACCAAAACACATTATAGCATGATGGAATAGTGGTTTATTCCAAAAGGTAAAGAAAGGTCCAAATAAAGAAATCTATTAACTGTAAACTGTCATAATAATGTCAAATAAGAAAAGTCATATATTTTAATCACGGCCAAAAAGGTACTTCTTAAAATGCAATATGGGTCCTTCATTTAAAATTACAAACAGGGACACCTGGGTGGCTCAGTGGTTGAGCGTCTGCCTTCGGCCCAGGGCGTGATCCTGGAGTCCCAGGATCGAGTCCCACATCGGGCTCCCTGCATGGAGCCTGCTTCTCTCTCTGCCTAGGTCTCTGCCTCTCTCTCTGTGTGTGTGTGTCTCTCATGAATAAATAAACAAAATCTTTAAAAAAAAAAAAAAAAAAGACTGGAACTCAACAAAGATACTTCAAATTCATTATTTTTAAATCACTGATGATAATACAGTGGAAACCCAAGAAAATCAACTGAAAATCATTAGTAATTACAAGGAAAGTCAATGTCCCAGAAATTCCAATACTAACTAGATTTATACCCTAGAGAAACTTACACATGCATACCAGAAGATATGTACAAAAACATTTTCAGTATAACTGCTGTAAGAGCAAAAGACTAGAAGCAATACAAAAAGCCCAACAACGGTAGGATGGATAAATAAGTTGTTTGTCATTCTGTGAAACAGTACACAGCAGTGAAAAAAACTATAGCTACATAAATCAACATAGATGCACTATAAAAATTAACATTATACTAAAGAAGCCATTCACAGGAGTATACAGTGATTCCATTTATATAAAACTAAGGAATAATAAACACAACATTTAAGATAGCAGGTGCCTCTCTAGAGAAAGAGGGAATGAAATTGTGGGGTCAGCAAGGGGGCTTTTAAAAATATTTGCTGGTCTAGATAGTGGGGGTTTATGTTATTTTAAATTACACATATATATTTTAGTATATTTTTTGCATGCACGTAATGCATCATAAGTTCAAATTAATTAACCATGTAAAATACAATTACATAATTTAGAAAGTTCAGACATGTAATCATTAAAAGGTATTTTAAAAACATTAATGGGGGTGCCTGGGTGGCTCAATCAGCTAAGCTGCTGCCTTCGGCTCAGGTCATGATCTCAGGGGCCTGGGATGGAGCCCTGCACAAGGCTCCAGCCTCAGTGGGGAGTCTGCTTCTCCCTCTGCCCCCACACCCATGTTCGCTGTCTCTGTCACAAGTAAATAAGACAATTTTTTTAATGACATTTACAATAGCAATTAAATATGAATTCCTATGAACTCAATAAAAATGCTGAGAACGTAGATAAATGTAGCTTTTGAATTTAGAAAATACTCCTTAATCTTAGGTAGGAGAAATAAATATAATTTTGTTTTCAGTAAACTTATCTACGTTTTCAATGACACTAACAGGTTTGAGGGAAGGTCTGAGAACTGATTTTAAGTACTTTCATGATTTTAAGTACTTTTGTGAGAAAAAGGAAAAGTGTTTAAAAGAGATGAGAGGTGACTAACCTAAGTGGCATATTAAAACTCTGCAACTCTGTAATTATAACACCATGAGGTTGACGCAGGAATAGAGAACATCAATAGAAAAGAACAGAAATTTGGAAATGGACTCAAAGAGAGCAGTGAATTCTTTTTCTTTTTTTATGATTTTATCTATTTATTCACCAGAGACAGACAGAGGGAGAAGCAGGCTCACTGTGGGAAGCTGGTGTAGGACTCGACTCCAAGACCACAACCTGAGCCAAAGGCAGCCGCTCAACCACAGAGCCACCCAAGTGCCCCTAGAGCAATGAATTCTAAACATGATAAAGATATTATCAAATCTGTGGGGATAAGATGGTTTATATAATTAATGATGCTGGAACATCTGACTAGCAATTGGCCAAACCTATATACCTAGATTAAAGCCCATGTACCTAGAATGGAATGATACATACTTGGAATGGAATATTATATAGTCATTAAAAACCCATACTACCAAAAAATATTTGGAAAAGTTAATTATATTTATATGTAATATATATTTAACAATGAAAAAATTATACATGTAACACCTATCCATACATTCAAACAAATATTCAAGGAGGGCTTAGTACATACTAGGCATAGTTCTATGTACTGGAAATGTTCTCTGCCCTCGTAGAGCCTACTTACTGTGTTCAAAGTTTTTATATATACTCATCTCTCTACATATATGTATGTTAGATTACCTATGTGCCTATATTTGTATATAGGTGTATATGTAAACATATTAGTGTCTATACAGACTAGTGAATATATGTATGTATATCAAATATTAGAAAAAAGCCTTAAAGTAAGTAGATGTGTCAGTAATGCCTGCCTCTGGTTGATGTGCAGGGGACTGAATGGTGCGCAAGAATAAGTGACCAATTAAACATGAATGGCCTCCCACAATGTGGCCTCACCTTATACTTGCACACTTACATGCTCTACAGTAATTAGCTCAGTTTTCTTATTTTTCCCTCAACTTCTGCCTTAGACAAAAGGATGGTCCTTCCTCTCTAGAAGAGTATCTTCCTATTCATGATGATTTTTCAGACCTGAGCTCCTGTTCTTGTTTTTTGAGTGTCACTCATTCTGACACTTTAATATATGATAACTTGAGGAATTATTATTCATCTCATATGGTTTATCTCCCCAATGTTAAGGAAAGACATTCTTTTATTTCCTTTCTCAGAGCATTAAGAACAGTACAAATTATACAGCAGACCTGAATGATTGGCTGAATAAATGAGTAAATGATGGGAAAAGACACTGGGTGGGAGGCAGGGAAATGCTGCATAGGACGGAGGCTTGGAAGTTTCTCAGGCAAGTGAGGAACATTTTCTATTCTATCTGGTCTGTCCATCCCCACTCCCACTTCTTCTACTCCCACCACTCATAGAGAATTGAGGGGCATTTTATAAGTGAGAGAAGACAATCCTACTCACCTGGGATCAAACTATGAGGAAAATAGTGAACATTCCTTCCTCTTTTATGTTCCTCTCTTGGGGAAGGGTAGAGTTTTGAGAAATCTGAGCTGAGGGAGAACAAAGGAGGAATCAAAGACTGGGTATGCCTTGCAATTCTCAAACTCACTACAGTCCCCACATACTAACTGGGTGTGACCACCAAGCCTCCTAGAGAGAGGCCAGAAAGAACCCAAGAACATTTCTATTCCCTTTCAAGGGCCAGATTGGAGAGTTATGAGAATGGCCACCCTGGACTTTCTTTCTGAACCTTTAAATCTTCAAAGGTACAATTCTAGCTTGGGCATGAAAACAGAATTTGATCCCACAGTCCCTGCAGGGATGCAGATGCTCTCTAGGTAATTTAGCCTGAGTTTCAAGGCTTTCCTAGTTAATTATTAACAAGCATAGTAAAATAACAAAAAACGAGACACTTAGCTTCTCGCTAAAAGTCCTTTCCTTATTTTGTTCAATCAGTAAAGCAGAAAGACAATTCCATTGCTCTTCTGTACGTATTACAACAGAAATACCGGGTTTAATACTATCAGAGTACCTAGAATCTTATAGAAGGATCCCAGATCCAGCGTTCCCAGGACCTGAACAGTCTCAACCCCATTACCAGTTGTAGAACTTTGAAAATCGCCAAACTTCTGGACTCCCCGGGGCCTCACTTTCCTCACCTGTAAAATGGGGGCATGAGCCTTTGCTACCCCGGTCCTGCCTTGGTGATCACAGGTCCCTGGGGAAAATGATAGACAGTTAAGAGCCCACCGGGGAGCAAGAGAGCGAGAGAGATTCATGGACGTTTCGAGAGCAGCTTGGGTTTGGGCTCCCCGTCGCGCCACGCGCTGCCGAGTGATCCTGGACCCGGACACACGGACGGTTCTGCAGGAGCCGGCTCCGCCCGCGTCCCGGCCGTGGCTGTGCGCGGCCTCTGCTCCCGCGGCGACGACACGCGAGGCCTCGGGTCCACGTCCAGGCCCCCGCCCCCAGCTCCGCCCCAGCACTTCCCAGCCCCGAGCACCCGGCCCCGGGCTCCAAGCTGCCTCTGTGCTCCTCTCCCCTGCCCCACGTTCGGATTTAACTCGGGGAGGGCGGCTGTGAAAGACCCACCTACACCGGTGTCTTCGGGATTTCTAAGCCGGAGCCGCTTCTCGGCCCCTCACCCTCCCTTCTCTGCCACTCTTCCTTCGATCACAGCTCTCCCCGCCCGTGTCCGCTCCTGGCTCGGTGCTCCCGAGAGTCCGCGTCACCTATGGAGCCTGGGGGGGACCGGGACCCGCCGAGATGGCCCGTCTGCCCAAACAATGGCCGCAGCCCCGCAAGACCGAAACGGAAGCCCCGGGCCTCGGAGTAGACACTCAGCGTTTCCATGGAGACGGGGGGCGGGGCGGGAAAGGCGAGCGCCGGGGAACGTGGCTCCTGATTGGCCAGAAGGTTCGGGGCGCAGCTCGGCCCTCTGCCCCCCGCCTTGGTGGGCAGGAGACCTGCCTCTCCGCGCTCGCCCCCGATGCTAACGGAATAGGACTATTCTAGGTGCTTTTATTTTTTATTTTTTGGGATTTTTTTAAATTCTTTTAATTGGAGTTCAATTTGCCAACATATAGCATAACACCCAGTGCTCATCCCGCCAAGTGCCCCCCTCAGTGCCCATCACCCGGTCACCCCAACCCCCCGCCCACTTCCCCTTCCACTACCTCTGGGTGCTTTTAGAGCCCCTGGGAAGGGGGCAGGGCTGGGGATTCAGAGCAATAAGGGCTGGCCTCGGAGAATTCTGGGACCCTCAGAACCCCCGAGCGGGGACCCCCTGACCCCCCGTAGGAATCTGGGGAAACCCTTGCTGTCACGTCTTTGGGGACGAAGGATGCTTGCGCCCGCTGTCCCGCGCCTCCGGCGGAATAGACGCCCCGCTGGCTCCGGCCCCAGCATTGTCCCTAAACTCGAGGGTGGAGCCGCGCAGCCACCAAGAGGACCTTGCACATTCCAGGTCCCCAGGCCCCGGCTTGGCTCCTGCGGACGCTGTGGCTGCCGCGCTTTCCTCGTCCCTCGTCCCTTGCCAAGTCCCGGGCTTCTCTGGAGACTCCAGGCAGAGAGGAGAAAGACAAGGTGGGACCGAGGCGGAGCCGCGGAAAAAGCCTCAGAAAGAGATCTCGCCACCCGCTCTTCTATTATCTCGTTCAGTGTTCCCTCAGGAAAATGTTTTCATTTCTTTAAAGCACTTTTCCTCAAACTTAGGCTGGATCAGTAAGATTCAAGTGTTAGGTAAGGAATGCTTTGTAGGGTGGTGGTCTTTAGAAGCAGTGGACTCCGTCGGATCCTGTTCTGACTATACCACCCACTCATGATGTGATCTTGGCTAAATAACACCCTTTTTGTGCCATCTTTAAAATAGGCATAATTATAGTAACTATTTTACAGGCTTGTTGTGAGAATTAACTGAGTTGGTGTCCTCGAAATGCTTAAACCGGTCCCTGGCACATAGAAAGTTCTATATGTTAATATGTTCACAGTTCAAGGATTAGCAGAAGCAGGTGGTCAGGGCCTACCCCTCTGGCCTCCACTAGGAAATGAACACCTGGATTTCTGTGACTCCCAAGATCACATTTTGCAAATCACTGTGTGGATCCCTCCCTGACTTACACATTCAGGGGCCATAGGGCAGTGTTTAAAGGCTTGGATTTTGCTAACAGAACTGACTTTAAAACCTGCTGTGGGGGATCCCTGGGTGGCTCAGGGGTTTGGCGCCTGCCTTAGGCCCAGGGTGTGATCCTGGAGTCCTGGGATCAAGTCCCACATCGGGCTCCCTGCATGGAGCCTGCTTCTCCCTCTGCCTGTGTCTCTGCCTCTCTCTGTGTGTGTCTCTCATGAATGAATAAATAAAATCTTTTTTAAAAAAAAGATACATTATTAAAAAATTTTAAAAAATAAAACCTGCTGTGTTACCCATTAGGTGATGTTGGGCAAGATATTCAGTCTTTAACCCCCAGTTTTCTAATCTGTAAGATGAATATTTTAATATGGTTAAATAGTTCTAGTTTAAATCAGGAAGGGCAAAGGGAAAGGGAAAGAGAATCTCTAACAGACTGGTCAGGGAACAGAGCCTGTTGGGGGCTCTGCATGCGGCTTGATCTCAGACCTTGAGATCACAACCCTGATACCATGACCTGAGCCAAACCAAGAGACACAGCCCACTGCACCACCCAGAAGCCCCTATAGTCTCTTTTTTATTAATTAATTCATTATGTATTTATTCATGAGAGACACAGAGAAAGGCAGAGACACAGGCAGAGAGTGAAGCAGGTTCCATGCAGGGAGCTCGATGTGGGACTGGATCCTGGGAGTTCAAGATCACAACCTGGGCCGAAGGCAGACACTCAAATGCTGAGCCACTCAGGCATCCCTATAGTCTTTTTTTTTTAAGGTTTTATTTATTTATTCGTGAGACACACACACACACACACACACACAGAGAGAGAGAGAGAGAGAGAGAGAGAGGCAGAGACACAGGCAGAGGGAGAAGCAGGGTCCACGCAGGAAGCCTGATGTGGGACTCGATCCTGGGACTCCAGGATCATGCCCTGGGCCGAAGGCAGGTGCTAAACCCCTGAGCCACCGAGGGATCCCTAGTCTAATTTTTAAATGTGCTTTGAGACTAAACTATTGTGTATCAGAGGATCTCAGATGTGTGATCGGTCTCCTGCATTTTGAGCTTTTCTGAACTTATTTTGAAAGGGAAGTGGAACTCAGAGTTTTGTTTCAAACAACTGTTTTTTTTTTTTTCTAATTAAGAACACTAATCCTTAAGACCTTTCATCTTAGACACATGTCTTCTCCATGCTAAGGTTGGCAATACTTTGAAAAAGCAGGGCTTTTTCTTATAAAAGAAAGTGAATGGATCTCCCATTTCATAAGGTCATTCACAGAAAAGAGCAGTAGCTCTCTACTAAAAGTTAGATGTGGATCATGCGGGAAATGTGTAATGAGCTCTTCTATTTCCTATTCTGATGTCTGCTTCTCCTACACCAGAGAACTGGAACTTATGGAAAGGAACCTTGAGCTCAGAGCACTGGTTTAGAAACCTGATATTGGATATCTCTCCATCTCCTTCTTTATGGGATAGATAAGAATGTAGCAAACAATGTCAGAGCCCAGGTGTGAGGACTTGAAAGTGGGATTTCTTGAAAAGAGCCTAGACCTTAGAAGATCTGTATAAATTTACTGAGGTTCTCTGACTCCCAAGAGACCACGAAGAAGCTGAACTCGTAGGCTGCTGGGCCCTGTGCTGAGTCTGAGAGATTATAAGGAAACTAGAAAGCCAGAGGGTTTTTTTTTTTTTTTTTTTATCCAGGGGTCATAGTAGGAAAATGGCAGGCTTCATGCTTCTACTCAACAGCCCGCTGCAGTAAAGTTCCTGGCCTCTTTTGTTTTCCCCTATCTATGGGACTGCTACCACTTAAAATAGTCCATTAATCAGACTTGAACCTCAGTGAAATGAAAAAAACAAAACAAATTTACAATATACACATACATTAGTGTGTGTATGTATGTATGTATTTATTTATTTTATTTATTTATGCTTTTTTAAAAAAAGACTTTATTCATGAGGGACACAGAGAGAGGCAGGATACCATCAGGGAGCCTAATGCAGGACTCATCCCAGGATCAGGACCTAAGCCAAAGGCAGAAGCTCAACCATTAGGCCACCCAGGATATATATATATATCTTTAAAAATAAAATTTTAATTTAAATACAATTTTAAAAGTATATATATACTTTAAAATTTGATATTAATAAAATTTTACCTTTAAAAATAAAATTTTAATTTAAATACAATTTTAAAAATATATACATACTTTAAAATTTGCTATTAATAAAATTTTAAAAGTATGTATATACTTCTAAAAATAAAATTCTTAATTTAAAAATCTCTAAAATTTAAATTTAAAAATGTCTAAATCTGTGTCTATCTACCTATATCTTCCTAATTCATCAATTTAGCTAATGAATTGGGATAGTCACTTTTGAGAGCCAAAAGTAGCCTAGATAACTTTTAAGAAATACCCCGAAAGCATAGAAGAAAAAAAAGAGATATAAATCATAAAAAAAAAAGATAATAGGCTTAAAGGATAGATCTATGATACCTACTACGCAGACAGAAAAGTTCCAGGAGGGAAAAAAGGAGTGGATAGAGGTGAAAAAAGTAAATGAATAACAAAATAATAAAAAATTCTTCTGGGCTGAAAAAAAATTTTTAATGCCTGAATCTACAGATCTAAGGAAGTCACTACATTTCAATCTGGATTAATGAGTAAAGACTCACACTAGGCATACACAGATATCATTTCTACATGCTAAGAAAAAAGAAAACTCAAGCTTTCAGGCAGAAAGGGCAAGTTATCTAAAAAGAAAAATAACACTAGACTTCTCATTTGTAATGTTGAAAGCTAGTAAACAGAGGCTATTGACTGGCAAAATAAAGAGGCTGCATCCATCAGCCAAAATATAGTCACCTGTCCTGGTGAAATAAATATTTGTAGATCTGTAAGAATTCAGAGTCCGTATAATTCTTCTATCTGAAGAAACAGTTCAAGAAAGGAACAAATAACAAATAAACCAAAGATGGAGGTAAGTTAGAAAAATTATGGGAAAGGAAACAGAGAATAGTGGTATAAAATAAATAATGAACTCAAAGTAACATATAAAGAATGCAATAAATTTTCAGTCCATGTGCTAAAGGTGAATGGACTGAATTTTCTTACATAAAGGCAGAGACAGACTGGGTCAAGCAACAAAATCCAGGCATATGCTGTTTACAAGAAACACCTGTAAGGTTGGTCAGAAAGCTGCCAGGCAAACATTAAAAGCAGAAATTACAGAAAATTGGAAGTTCAGAATCAGATATGGATTTTATACATTGAAAAGAGGCACAATTTATGAGGAAGTATAATAGTATTAAGCCTACTAAATAAATAGGGCAAAAATTTATAAATTTAAGAACTTGATAAATACAGTTTCTATGGGAAAATTCAATACATTTGTGTCGGAATTACACCTAGAACACAAAAGATAAGGTCCTACAGAAATTGAGTACCATAAAAATCCTGATTTAAGAGTTATATAGAAGGACACCTGAGTGGCTCAGTGGTTGGGCGTTTGCTTTCGGCTCAGGGTGTGATCCTATGGTACTGGTACTGGGATCCCCATGGAGTCCCCCATCAGGCTCCCTGCATGGGG